ACATACTTGAAGTCATCACTAGAGACAGCTCCGTCAAATGATCCAGAATAGGTCCTGGAAAATATGAAGGGCCTTGGTTAATTGAGTCCCAAGATTTGGAGTTCTGAATCCCAAATCTTGTAACACAGGATGGTAGCCTGAAGATTTACAAGTTCAACTGACAACTTTGAGGTTTTTGACTTGCTTGACTTGCGATACATCAAGCAAATATTCTGAAAGCTTCCAAGTAATTATCAAATTGCAAAGGAGATCAGGGTTGAGTATAAGGAATTCAAATAGAAATGTATCATATCCAAGAGTAAGTAATTCAAAACATATGATGAGCACTAATATATACCTATATTATGTAGCCAAAATAAAAAATAATATGGAACAGAAACAACAAGAATGATTGCTAGAACTTCTGGAATACAACTCTTTCAACAATCAATGCAAATGTGTGTTTCTGAAAACAGGCAAAAATATTTGTTTTTCTTCTGCAGATTTTCTTCAAGATTTAGAAGCAACAATCAAAGCCCCACCGTTATAGCTGAGTTGTTTGCGAGTGCAAGTGATAAAATAAATCAGTAGCCAGGGGTTCAGAGGAGATGGAATCAGATTTGATACTCAGAGCAGGAGGAGCAGCAACAACGGCCTCCCCAAGTTCAAGTCTGGAGATCATGCAAGACCATTCCAAGTCTGTTTTGTGGTCCTAATTGATGGAAATGGGTCTGCTGAGATGCTTCATCCAGGTTAGAGAGCTGAATTGGTGCAGAACTAGGAATGAGACTAGGTCAAGGATCACATCTGGAACCTCTGTTGGCTCCTGTGTTGAGATAATTGTCCGCATCCCAAAGTGCTTCTGTTATCGGATCAAAGAGGTCATCAATTACGTGAACTGGGCCAATCACTGATCTGCATTCAAGTACTTGTGCACCTCATCTAAGACTGTATATCCTTATAAAACACAAAGAAAAAAAAAAGTATATGACAAGGTTGAGTAACTAGAAAAGTTGAATGATTCTTACTCATTTTTTTTCTTAACAAGAACCAAAAACAGATGATCAACAATTTTGAAGACTCACACAAGACTTTTCCAGCTTCCATTTCTTTTGACAAACAAAACTACAATGATCTCAAACTGAGCAATGACCAAAGATGAATTGGTGAAAGGATCACGTAGATTGACAATAGCCAAGTGGCCTGGCTTGAAATAAGAGGACATGCCCAAGGATTTCTTTGAAGTCAAGTAGGAATTAAAGGGATCATATAGGATGAGTAGCCACAGCCTGAATGTAGAAATGTAAAGTAAAAGTATAAACTAAAATAAAGTTTTAGGGAAGGTATAGAAAATGCTAGAAAGCAGCTTTCTTTCTATATTTTAGAGATCCATATCAAATAAGTGAGTAAGGTAGGGGTAACCATCCTGTGTAACTTAAATTAGTTCTGTGCTTTATAAATGAAACCTAACATTAAGTAGATAGATTCTAATAAGATAATATATATATATACTTTATAAAACAACTAACAGGGATGTTTATGTTTATATAAGGGTCGCCCAACCATGGGAAAACAGGGTGAATTGCAGAGACATCCTTTGTTGGACAATCTGCATAAGAAGACTATGATGTGTGTACTTAAGATAATAGATAATAATAAATCTGTATTTCAGTGTGTATAAATTTGTATTTCAGTGTGTATAAATCTGTATTTCAATGTGTATAAATCTGTAATTGTTATGTGGCTATGACTTGTATTTATGAAATAATATATAAGATGGATTTATTTATAAGGGTGGTTGAGATGATCTGGTCCAGTGGTGGATGATGGAGGGAACAACTGGCAGGCAGAGGCCTCCTTGTATAGAAAAATGTGAGGGATTTTGGCCCCAGGGTACAGGCTGTGAGATACTACTACAAAGGGATGCATATGAATTAATAAAGGGACACATATGTATGATCAAAGGGATGCATACATGAAATATCACTAATACAAAGGGATTCAAAATAACGTAAAGGTATTCAATTTACTACCAAGGTATTCAGTATTCAATATGTATCCTGTATTCATAATGACTATGGTCAGAGTGAAGAATCCAAGAAATATCCTGTGACAGGTTGAAATCTGTGTACTTTCTAAATTTATAAGAGATAAAAGGTATGGTTTTAGTGAGTGACTAGGGGTTATTTTACCTGAGGTATTCCATTTTTGATTTCATTTTTAGCATATCTTGAATGACTAAAGAGATAATGAGAAATTTTTATATTTTCTGCATAGAAACACAGTATTATGTACCACACCACCCATTCCTAATTTTCAAAAAAAGTTTCCCTTTAAATTCATAAAAAAAATCATACCCAAGATCAGCCTGCCCCTTAGAATCAAGTGGTGTGGTGTTCAATATAGACGTACAAAGTGCAAGTAGAAGCCCAATATAAGAGCAAGTGAGCTGAACTGGTACTAGCTGCAGTGCATTGGCCAGGATTGCCCTGCGTGAGGTTGTATTCCTTCAATCAAGAGTGCCATATCAAGCTTGAATTTGGGTCCAGCACACAACTACAGAGATCTGTCACCCAGCCGGTTTGGATCTGGCTATTTGTTGAAGTTGAGCTTGCACTCAATCTGGAAAATTGAAAGAGTGAAGTACCAATTTGTTGGTCTATTTGCTGTACTTCATAACCTCTGTGATTTTAAAAATAAACAAAATGTCTATTGAGGTGATAAGAATAGGTATGCGTAGAGTGGGGGGGGGTGGTAAGATACAAGGGTGATATAAATGGATAAATCCATAAAAAGGAGTTGCCCTCCCAGCATTACTTCTCCTCATCCAACAACTCAGATTGTAAGAATTTTACCATTGGCAATTACACTTAGATTGATCATGGCCAGAGAGAAGGTATATTTTTATGTTCTCTAATTTAAAGATAATCTATTCATCTCTAACATTCTTTTTTGATCCCTTGTCCAGCCCTTTCCCAGGTGTAACCGCATGGGCACCGGTGAGAAACCACCCATTGCTAATTTGAAAAAGTCTGTATAAAAGCTTGACTCAGTTGACCTGCCCATTTGGCTGACTTGAGACTTATTTGTTAAATGATAGGGCCTCTGAAGACAAA